TAGGTGGCTAAAGCTGCCGATTCAGAAGACGATGAGGATGATGGCAGTGAAGATGACTCTGATGATGTTGATGAAATGGCACTTAATGATGATTCTAGTGATGAGAAGTCTGGTAAAGTATGTCATTTCTTCTAATGCATGGGCATATAACTACGTGGCCTTTGTTTACTTTATGTTCATCACTTATTTTGATATTGCTGAACAATAGAGTAGGGTTCAGAGAAGAAAAGGGACTAGTTGAGTATTAGTAAAAGAAACACACTTTGGATTTTTGGGGTAATTTTTGTGATAATTATTATTGTGGATGGATTTTTTAGTAAACCTTGAATTGGGATTTTTTAGGATTTTGATGAAGAATATGATGATTTCAGTGCCTACCCCAAAGGTACAGCTCTGTTTCTTTTTATATGCTTATATTTCTTTAGCAATTCACACCGCACATAATTGAGCATGTTGCATTGTATAATTTGTCATGCCAAAATCTGCAGCAATCAAAGAAAAGGCCTGCTCAACAAGCTTTTGTTGCAGCCACGAAGAAGACTAAATCCTCTACCCCTGATAAGACGGGTTTCAATTCTTTCTTTTGCTTTTTTGCGGTTATCTTTACTAATATTTGGAGGATTTTTTATTTAGAACCATGGGTTTTTTTTTATAAATTTGTCAATATTTTTAGTAAACTTAAATTATCTTTATGAAATACCTAGCAAATACCCCCACTTGAATTATTTTCGTGAATTCCTGGATAATACCCTCCTCGAGGGTTCATTCTTTTAACTAGAGACAAATGTGGAACACTGCTCTGATACCAATTGAAAAGTATACGTTTAGAATTTAAGGCGCTCACCTATTAACAAATCCTCTGTGGACCATCTATTTATATAATGGGTGATTTGTTAATTATTTAGCCCGCGAGGAATAGATTTAGCCCGAAAATTGACCGGGCAATCATGGTTGTGTAGATAGGTTCGTTGGCGACATATAAGAAGAAGCGGAAATCAATTTTGAGCTTGGACGAGTCCGAACGGGCCCAAAAAGCAAAGTCGCGCGAAACAATTTTAATGTGTAGGTCAAGAGCTTTGGGAGGAAATGATTTCAAGAATAATTTGGTCATGTAAGCATGCATCATTGAATAGAGGGGTTCGTTAGCTACGTATAAGAAAAAACGGAACTCAATTCCAAGTTCAGACGAGCCCAAAATACAAAACACATACTATATATTAATTTTTTTATTCATTAATTTTAAAATATAAAACGTATTATCAAAATACGTTTTATTTCTTAATTATTTACAAAACGTATTATGATAATACGTTTTATAAATAATTATTTGTTTAGTTCTTAATTATTTGAAAAACGTATAACCAAAATACGTTTTATTTATTAATTTTTGTAAAAACGTATTATGTGAATACGTTTATTCTATAATTTGAGATTTTATAATAAAACGTATTCCGAAAATATGTTTTTTAAATAAAAACGTATTCTCAAAATACGTGGTTTGATTTTTGTCTACATGTTTTTAAGTTTTTTGGTTTTTGTCCACTTAAATTTTTTTATATTTAAATAAATAAATAAATCAATAGTTGAAAATTAAAAAAAAATACAGAAAATGTGATGTTAAAGTCAGGTCTGTTGGTTTACGTCTAAAGTGAACACTTTCACTCACCAAAAGCTACGAAAAAAAGGTGGAGATATTGTAATCATTTTGCAACAACATCAAATTGAGAAAATTAACCCATCCACTATCAAGATTAATTTAATTTGCACATATATTAATCCTAGTTTTTATTTGCAACTATATCAACACCTTAATTTTTATTTGCAATTATACCAACATTCCTTATTTCCCGCTTTTCCTTTTTCTTTTTCGTCACTTCCCTATCTCTTCTCCTTCTTCCAGTTGCTCCCCTCTTCTTTCATTTTTTCTCCTCCTCCTATATTCCCAAATTGCTCGAGTATACATAGCAATAATGTTATATCATTCGTCATGGACTGGATGCCAGACTTTTTAATAAACTGTAAAAGTCATCAGAACTATTCATACCACCATAGATTTCATATGCAATCAGATCACTGTAAGTTGAATTTGAGACCCATTCTTTTTGTTATTTTTGTTTAATCCAACCAACCAACAAAAGAAAAAAAAAATTATGCAACTTCATCTCCAGCAGAAGCAGAAAAAAAATGATGCAACTTCATCGGACGGGAATCTCAACGTACCATGTATATATAGTTAATGAAGACTTAGTCTTTGGAAGAATTTTTTCACATGTTTTGATTTCTTTATGTGTTGGAAGATTTCAATTTTTATTTGACGTTGATCTACAGTTTATATTTGAGGGTAATTGTTATTTTACAACATGTACTATGGGGTAATTGTATTTTTGGTATCTATTCTTTATTTATGGTAAAAGTACAACCCAACCTTTACGTTTTTGCAAATTTAGTACTTAATATTAACGCCTGCAGTATTTCCGTCTATATTCTTGTCTTCCAATGTATAATAAATAAAAGAAAAGGAAAAACTAATTGTGTGGCACTTAAAGAAAAGGGCAAATATGAAAAGTTTCATTTCTTAATTCTTGTTCTTAACACATACTCTCTTAAAGCCCTAATTCCCGTACCCCATTTCAACTACAATCTTCATTTTCTGAATAAATCATTGCTTAATACATAGAAATCTGATATGGGTTGGAGGATTAGAGACCCAACTAATCCTTTTTTGCAACATGGAATCATTCCTCTAGATTATGGTAAGTATAGCTTTTTTTTTTTTTTTGGTAATATGTAATGATGCTTAAATTATTATTTGTGTAGTTGTTAGTTAACAAGATTCATGGCCCTATGTTGATTAAAAGATTTTGTAAATGATTTGTAACATATTTCTTACTTTTGAATACATGTGTTATTTTTCTTTTCAGGTTCCAATTCACAAACTTTCACTATCAAATTTCATCATTCTGGTAAGTTTGTTGATATTGTTGGAATCAAACAATATATGGGTGCTAATATTGGTGTCGGTCATGTTGATTTTTGTTATCCGGATGAGTTGTCGATGCTTGAGTTAGTAAGCATGTGTGATGAGTTGGGTTTACATGGAGTGAAAGCATTTCATTGCAGCCTGGATGAGATTAATTATTGCAGGAATAATGTAATTGTGCAAAGTGATCTTGATGCAATGAATTTAGTTAATTTCATTGATGAAAATAGGACAATTGGAGGTTTTCTTGAACATAATGATGAAACTTTTCCTGAAATTACTGAAAGGTTGGATTTTGTGGGGGATTTTGATGTTCTAATTGAATATGAAAGGGGATAAAGTAGGTGAAGGGAAAGACAGTGATGTTGAAGCTGCGCAATATGTGAGTATTGATTCTGAGTATGAGGATGAGTTTGTAGATAGTGACAATTATGTCACTGATGAAGATGATTTACTATTTGAAAAAAAATATTAACAATGATGTGGAATGGGGCGGACTAGACATGAGGAATAAGAAAAAAATTGGGGAAACTTCTACCACTGAGCAAATGGGCAGAGATAAGAAATGAAAGTCTAGAAAAGAAAAAGCAATTCTAGATGGGATGGACTGCAAGCTGGAGTTAGGAATGGATTTCCCAGATACAAATTTTTTTAAGGATGCTGTTAGAAAAAAATCTATCAAGCTTGGTAGAGATGTTCAGTTTACAATTAATCATAAATACAAGGTCCAAGCTAAGTGCAAGCATGGCAAATGTCCTTGGGTTATTTATGCATCCAAGCTGCAAAATGAGAACACCATTCAGGTGAAGACTTATGTGGCTACACATAAATGCCCTCGCCAATAGAAGGTTTCACATGCCACTCCCAAGTTTCTTGCTAAGATGTATAATGAGAAGTTGAGGAATGATCCAAGATGGCCGATCTAGTCCATGTTGTTGTGGATGCAAGGAGATATAAAATTATGCTTCAACAAATGACAGATGTACAGAACCAAGAAAATTGTTAGTGAGTCGTTAGTGAGTCGGGTGATGTGACTGATATTGAGCAGTATGGCATGTTATGGTCATATGCTGAAGAGATTAGGAGATCCAATCCTGGAACAACAGTGAAGATAAAATCCAAAGTGAAGACAGATGGGGTATATTTTCAGAGGTTCTACATTTGTTGGGATGCTTTAAAGCAGGGTTTCATACAAGGTTGTAGACCACTAATTTGTATGGATGGACGTCATTTAAAGTCAGGTGGGATTTTGCTTTCAACAGTAGGTATAGATGCAAATAATTGCATTAATCCTTTTGCATATGCTGTTGTGGAAAAAGAGACCAAGAAAACATGGCACTGGTTTGTGCAGTAACTAATTGAGGATCTCAACATTCAAAACCCATTCTACTTCACCATAATGTCAGACAAACAAAAGGTTTGGTTGATGCTGTGGATCAACTATTGACAGGTTGTGAGCATAGGTTTTGTATCCAACATTTGTATGCAAACTTTAAGCTACAACATAAAGGTTTGGCACTGAAGAACCTTCTATCGCAAGCAGCTAGAGCTACTAAGGTTTCTGATTTCAATATTGCGATGACTGAATTACAGAAAAAGGATCTGAAGGCCTTTGAGTGGTTAGTTAACAAGCCTCCACAACAATGGTCCAAGTCACATTTCTCTTGCACTTCCAAAAGTGATCTATTATTGAACAACTTTTGTGAGTGTTTTAATTCTTTAATCCTCAGAGCAAGAAGCAGGCCTATTCTTACAATGCTGGAGGAAATCAGAATGGTGTTAATAAGGAGAATTCATGTGAGAAGAGATGAGATGTTGCAGCATGTTGGGGACATTTGCCCAAAAATGGAGGAACTTTTGGAGGTGCATAAAAAAAGGCCATGTTTTATATTGCACATTGGAATGGATGTGATGAGTTTGAAGTTGAGGGTTCAAATGGAAAGAGATTTGGAGTTCATTTAGGAGAAAAAAGTTGTACTTGTAGAAAATGGGACCTCACTGGAATACCATGTCCACATGCAATCTCTACCTTCTATTACATGAACCATGAACTTGAAGCGTATGTCGACCATTGGTACAAGAAGGAAAATTATTTGCAAACCTACAGTCATGTGATGGGTACCTTAAATGATGTTGATATGTGGCCCATGGTGGATGTTGATCCTCTTATACCCCCAGTTGTTTACAATATGCCTGGGAGACCTAAAAATTTTTCTAGGAAAAAAACCCCATCTGAACAGGCTGAAATTGGTGGAGGTAAAGGGAAAAGAAAATCTGTTGATTCTAAAATGTCAAGGAAAGGGATGATTATGACTTGTAAAACATGCAAGAAGCCTAATCATAATTCAAGGGGATGCCCAATGAAGAAAGACTCCACCCATTCATCTCCAAAACTGGATGTTCTTGCTCCAAATCAACAGAAAATGGTGGTAAATTTTATCATAATTGTCCATTTTCTTCACCATGTTTTTTTTAGCATATTTTTGTTTTATTCTTTCTTATTTTTGCATGTAGCCACTCGAAAAAAGAGCAGGAGGGAAAAACAACTTGAACCTAGAACCAACAATAAATTGCAGGTTTTTTTAAATACTTCTATATTGAATATTGTTTGTTAGTTGTTTCTAAAAAAACAACTCAAAAGAGAAAATAATCATCCACATTTTTTTTTATGTAGGTCAACAGGTGTGTGGAGGTTTCAAGTCAACAGTCCTCAACAACTGACTTATTTGAACAAGATGTGCATAGGCCAAAGAAGATTATTCAGAAGATGGTCAATTCAAACATGAAGCTTTTTGGAGAAGCTGTCAAATTCTCAACAACGCCAGGACAAGGATCACATCTTAGGACAGTTTCCACAGAGGAGGATGCACCACTATTAGGATCATATTGATTGCTACATGGTGCTTTATGTTTTGCTTTGTGGTTCTTTGTTCTTTCATTAAACTTGTAGTGTTTTGGTAGGTTTTGGACAGTGTGCTCTGAAGTTCTGTGAATTTTGGTATGCGACTCTTAAAACTAGTAGTGATGGAGTTTTGGCAAGTATGTAGTATTTTTTGTATGGCAGGATATGCCACTCTTAAAACTAGTAGTGATGGAGTTTTGGCAAGCATGTAGTATTTTTGATATGGCAGGATATGTAACTCATATTATGTTGAATCAATGCCTATTTTTATGCATATCTCGAATCTCGACTAGTCCAATTTCAGCACATGAAATAGTTTGGGACTGAGTTTGTGTCTTTATGGAGATCAAATATAGAAGCACAGGGCCAAATAACAATTCCTCTTTAATATTTCAAAAAGACATTAAAATAAAATTTTGTAACTAAAGTTTACTCATTACTGAACTTTCTTGTTTCCTTTGAGATGACAGATGAGATGTTCTAACACAAAATAAACTATTAATCATTCATCTCTTGAAACCATCTATCAATCTGACTCCAAGAGATCCATAAATTTTACCAAGTGCCAACATTTAGTGTTAATCAATAAGAACATGATTATATAACGTGACTCCACAATTTGCAACGCAAAGCACAAACCCGAACACAAATGAATTAGGCAAACAAGAAAAAAGAGCAAAACTGGCAAAAGGGATATGTCAATCTCACTATATTTCAATTTGGAATTCATACTATTATTCATCACACTACTACATAATAGATTGTGAAATTCATCACAAAGTTAGAAAATTTGAATTTAACCAACAACTTACAACTTAGAGTCATAATAAGCCTAAATAGTCCATACAATACAAGCACAATTCATACCATCATTTGTAAAGAAGGTATACAACCATCCAAGATAACACCAAAACCAACCACATACACCTCTCCCTAAACCTCTTTCTCTTGGGTTCATCTTCAAGCTTCTCATTTTTCTTCAATAAACTTGGAAGAATTGGTCTTGCTCTTGTGCACATTGGTGGATCAATCCACACGTAATATGTGCAACCTCCAGATTTCTTCAATGAAATGCCAAGATTAAAATGTAAGAGACCAAATAATAATAAGGGTAAATAATTATTTGCAACCTGTACTAATCGCGTTTTCGCATTTTACAACCTAAAGAATATTTTGTACTAAATTGCAACCTTTAATACACGGGTTTGCCTGTATCGCAACCTCCGTCCATCGGCGGCTCGTTTTCCACCGGAAAAGCGAGCGTGCGGCGCACACGCACGAATCTTGAGGGTAGATTTGCCATTTTATTACGCGACCTTTGGACTCCCCAAATACACTCTGAATTGAATTGAATTCACAAACCAATTCAAAATTAGGGCAAAACACTCTTCTTGTCTCTCTCTCTGCGCGAATAAAACGAGAACCTTCTCTGCAAAAATTTAGAGCAAACACTTCGCAAATTCAAATTGATTGCAATTGTGATGGTCTGGAAAAAGCGAATCAGTGATGACGACATACCACCAGGAAGACCCTGCCCAGATTACGGTTTGTACTGTAACCCTAATTCGTAATTTTTTTTTTTTTATATTTTGTTGAATTTGGCCCAATTCTTTTAACTGTGAACATGTTTGTGTGATTATGTGGCGACGTTTTAAATGTGGCGACAATTTCTTGAATGTGGAGACAATCAGTGGATTATTCATATATCAACATGTGAATTTTTTCTGAAATGTGGTCCCTTTTTCGAAATTGATAAATTAGTTTGGTTTTTTATTAATTTTTTTATTTAATTTTCATGTGAAGGGACCAGGATATTGATTTGTGTAATATTCTTGTCCCCTTCAGGTCCAAGTTCACAACTGTTTACCATTTCATTTCATTATGGTGGACGATTTGTGGAATTCGGTGATACATGCTACACTAGTGAGAACATGAGGGTAAGTCACATTGACTACTGTGACCCTGACAAACTCTCACTGATAGAAATATTTCTTATGGCTTCTGAAGTTGGGGCAGAAGGTGTTAGGTGTGTGCATTGTAGTAAAAATGGTGTTAATGATTGCCGGTCTTTGTTTGTCTTGAAAAATGATTTTGAGCCATAAGTCTTGTTAGTTGGATTGATGAGAATAGAATGGTTGGTTTATATGTTGAACATATAGAAGACTACATGAGTAGTCAACCTTCTGATTGCTTGCCTTCTGTTGATGAACCATTGGATTATGTGGGGGATGATGGGCAGGATTTAGATGAATTAATTGATAATTTCACTGTTGAACAAAATCATGATGATATAGGTGATGATGATTGTGGTGATGATGATTTGGGTGATTCTGATAGTGAGTTTGAAATCCAATCTTTTGGATCAGACTCAGAGTGTTCTGATGAGTTTCTTGAGAGTGATTGTGATTTGTATGATGAAGATGATAAGATGTTTGAGGGTCATGTAGATGCAGAAATTGAATGGGGAGGGATAACTAGAGAGGAACCTGATAGGCCTGAATTTGCATGTAGCAAGGGTAAGCAGAGAGCTAAAAATTCCCATCAAACTTTTGATCATCAAAAAGACATGCAAAATCCACAGTTCGAATTGGGCATGAAATTTCCTGACTTAAACATGTTTAGAAAGGCTGTTAGGAACTTTGCAATTGCACAAGGTAGAGAAGTGTCTTTTACAATTAATTTGAGCTATAAGGTGCAAGCAAGATGCAAAAATAAGTCATGTCCTTGGCTCATTTATGCATCCAAAGTTCAGAATGAAGACACTATGCAGGTTAAGACATTCAATGGTAGGCATAAGTGTCCTAGAAACCAAAAGGTGAGTCATGCTACTCCAAAAGGGATAGCTGAAACTTACAAAAATAAGATATTAGATAATCATAAATGGCCAGTAGAGGCAATGATGACAGAGATGCAAAGGGAAGTAGGGATTGTTTTCAAAAGATGGCAAATGTATCAGGCTAAAATATATGTGTCTCAGATTGGTGTGGGAGTTGATTGTGAGCAATATGCTATGCTTTGGTCTTATGCTGAAGAGATCAAAAGACACAACCCTGGGACCACTGTGAAAATTAAAAGCAAACTTGTAGATGGGGAGCCACTGTTTAAAAGAATTTATATTTGTTGGGGCTCTTTAAAAAGGGGATTGCTTATGGGTTGTAGGAAGGTGATATGCTTAGATGGTTGCCATCTGAAAACTAGTTGTGGTGGTGTTCTATTGACTGCAGTTGGGGTTGATGGAAACAATTGTATGTATCCTTTTGCATATTCTGTTGTTGAAAAGGAAACAAAAAAAACTTGGCATTGGTTTGTTGAACTGTTGAAAGGAGATTTGGGAATTGAGAATTCTTTTCAGTGGACAATAATGTCAGATAAACAGAAAGGGTTGATAGATGCCATTGAAACTCTACTGCCAGATGCTGAGCATAGGTCTGTGTCTAACACTTGTATGGAAACTTTAGGGCTTCATTTAGGGGATTAGCCCTGAAAAACTTGTTGTGGAGAGCAGCCAGGTCCACTAGGGTTGTTGATTTTAATGCTGCAATGAAAGAACTGGAAGAAAGGGATAAAGAAGCTTTTGAATGGTTGGCTAAGAAACCAGCAAATCAGTGGTCAAGGTTACATTATAGTTGCAACTCAAAGTGTGATATGCAGCTGAATAATATGTCTGAGTCATTTAACTCACTCATTTTGAGGGCAAGGAGTAAACCTATTGTTTCTATGTTGGAAACAATAAGACTTATCTTGATGAAGAGGACCTACATGAGAAGGGATCAGATGATAAAATATCTGCATGGGAACTTGTGCCCAAAAATCTTGAAGCTGTTGGAGGAATTGAAGAAGAAGTCCATGGGTTTTATTTGTCACTGGAGTGGAGAAGACCAATTTGAAGTTGAGAGAAGCTCAAGGAGATTCAGAGTTCATATGGGGGAGAACTCATGCACATGTAGGAAGTGGGACCTCACAGGTATCCCTTGTGAGCATGCCATAAGTGGTATGTGTTAGTGTTATATACTGAAAGATTGGCTGCATGTTATTACACATTTACCCTTTATGAATGAGAATCATGTTAGATTAAACAAGTTCTACGTTCTGTTGTTCTGCACTTAGATAGGGTGGGTCGTCATCGGGCGAACCGAAGATCACTCTATCAGTCACTTGCGAACAAGAATAGTTGTTCACAACCTAGATGGACATGAACACCCCATCCGAACGGTTGTAGTGTCAACTGTACAGTTTGTCTTGACTGATTAGTTGCACTAGTACATTTATGTATTGAACAGGATCCCAGAGAGGAGAAGTTCATTTTATACTGATCGTCGTAAATGAACTAGGCCTCGGTCTGCGTTCTCTTAACCCGTAAGATATTAATTAGGCAGATATATATAATATATACTACTTTGATTCACATGAGTGAGGTTCAGTTTGCTGGATTAATATTCCTACTGTTTTTGGTAATATTATTATATATAGGATGTGCTGTTAGGATATTTACGGTCACCATGTGCGTTAGTTTGATGATGTCCCCGGAGTGAGTTCATGAAGGATTGTTATGCTAAACCCTGCAGGTGGATTAAGTTCCGGCATAATAAGAATGTGATGAACGAGCGCTAGCTTCGGTGAAATAATAATAAATTAATTAATTCTTGATTGTCAGTAATCGAATTAATTAATGGACATTATATCTTAAACGTGGGGAGGTAAATCGAGTAATTATTATTGGAGTCTCAAATGTAATTTGGGCTAGGGAAAGGGAGTGCAATAATATAATGTTGGTGGCCCATTAATATTATTTAATTAATTAGAGGAGTGGGTTTGGCCCACAGTTAGTCTAATTAATTAAGGAGCCCTTTTCCTAATCTCCTTAGGGTCCCTACTGTAGCTCTATATATACATCATTAAGCTCATGAGAAGAGAATAGAAGTCTCATTCTCACGTGAAACCATCTCTCTCTCTAGATCTCATTCGAGCTTTATCTTCTTCTTGTTGCTCCACTGGTACAAGTTGAAGAAGGGTGTATTGAGTAATACAGTAGAAGATCTGTAGGTAAACCGAGACGAAATAGATTTTGACCTACAGAACTAACCGGAAGTCCGATTGAGACGTACAGTATATCCAGACGAGCGTCTCGACGAGGGCTTTCCATCGCCGCTGACGTCGCCGGAATCCGACGCCGCACGCGCCCTCACGCGCCGCCGGAAGGTGTCTGGCAGCAAAATTTCGTTTTGATCTGTTTGC